AACATAGCTTTTTACGTATATTTTCCTAATTTACATAAATACTTGACAGAATACTGTGAAAATTAGGGACAAGTTGTTTTTTTTATATTTGATTTAAAAACGTTTTATAAAAATTATATTTTATGGTAAACGTAGCACCGTCGTAGCAAGCGTTGACTACGTTTGTTACAGTGTCGACGTCGTAGAATGTCTACGACATATTGTAGCGCCGCTCGTAGTAAACTTCGAATAGACAAAGAAATTCCGCCACGTAGCTATGAATAACAATTTCAAGAACTATGATTTCGTTTATCAAATAGATATGGCATATTTTTTTAATTATAATAAATTGTTATTTCAATGCAGTAATTTAGTGGATGTCTAAAGGCTTGGTCAGTGTAATTAATCCTTTATAATATTCTAATTCACTATTAAAATGTTACTATTATTTTAACTATACTAAATTAAAAATACAGAGCAATGAACTCATCATCATAGAATACTTAATAACTTTTGTAAAGTGAGCGTAGCACATCTATAAATTTTCTTAGCTCCATGTTCCTTGCTTTGACGTAAGGTAGACGACAGTTTGCTATTGTTGCAGCGCAATACGATAAGGCTTTTATTAGGCACCGGATCTCCGGCTCCGTAGCAAATAAAATAAAAGAGTGCTGAATATAAAACATCAGAAAGATTTTAAGATAGAATTTCAGCAACAATTGGGATGTTTTTATGCGATGTATAGTTTCAGACGTTTTAAAAAATAAAATTAATAGTAAATACGTTTGGATAACATTTTATTTGCATACTTTAACTAAGTCAGATATACTATTATAGAAAATATACTATTTTAATTCTGTAATCGTAATTGGATCATGGTAGATAAGAAACTTATTATTGTATTGCTTACATAATGAGTTAAAGTAAAATATATAATAATTTAAATTAGATTTACGTTACTTTATCATCAAAATTAGGGTTATTTATGATCAAAATCGGCTTTTAAACATTTTAGTAAGATAATACGTACATATCCAAAAAACAAGCGAAAAATATTTCGAAAAAGAAACAAAATTTTTGATATATGTATTTTGTTACTAATTTATCCGTTCCAGTCGAATGTACTATGAAAATGACACTTCATCGTTCATTCAGACTCCATTACATTCACTGATTCGTTCTTTCGTTCGCTGCGAGTTAATACTGTTGTTATCGAGCGAGTTGATCTGCTAGGAAATTGCCTGCGTTCATATTTCTGGTCGAATGAGCTGCCTGTTTAGTGAGCCGTGATACCGAACTTGTAATTTTGCCTGTCATTCTGTTCGTATATACTTTTTGCAATCAAATTTTGCGTATTACAAAGAAATCGCGAGACTGTATGATGTATATTTTTTAGGGTTTCATACATAGAATGTCGCTTTTATGAAATATGTTTTCATTTAGTAATGCTTTACACTTTATGAGATCTTTTTTAGATGACGTTTATTCATGTTCGCTAAAACCTTTGTGATAAAGAAAAATTTCGTTTCACTATTGCATGCACTGCATTGAAAACTTTCTTTTAAAATTTCGAAATGAAATTAAAACAACGAATGCAAAATTGCAGCACGTTCGCGAACTATAATCAGAGTACACAAAGTAAGGCATGAATCAAATCTCTGTCTCTCAGTGTGGAGTACACTCGGCGGGATAATCGGGTAGGTTTTAAAGCTGTCAGCGGCTTAGCACCCCCCGCCTGCCGCCGCTGCGCCACCCCGCCACACCGCCACCCCCGGCACTTCACGTGCGTTTTGACGCGATTATCATCCCCCGACGGTATCTGAGCGCAATATTGTTTGTGACGTTACCGATGTACGAAGTGACGGCGATGTTGGATGCGACAAACGTAAAACAAACTTGCAAAGTATTTCTATATTTGGTTTTATGTCTACCTAAAAAATATCAGTGTTAGTTGTTCTAGGGAATATGTAGGAGGTCACCTACATGTTCTACAAAATATCTGTACTACCTATAAATTGCTTTATACTTTGATGCTAACTTTACGGTATGCAAATTGAAACACATTTCACAGAACAAATCCAAACTCAGTATTTAAAATTGATTAATGTAATGTCATATTTCTAACAATGAATGCCACATCAAAAATAACAAACGTTCGTTGCTCCGTGACATCTGTGCGCCGCCCGCCCGCCACCGGCTACGTTTTTGAATCTGCTTCCTTTGTGACGATTTTAATATGGAAATTAACGTTCGCCGCCGTGTGCCGCACACCTCCACAATCATATTATTTACCGCCAAATTGCCGCCACGGCCTCCTTTAACAATACGCCGCTAAAAGGACGCAGACGTTTTTAATTTTAAAAGTACAAAAACTCTTTGCTTTTATTAGACCGCTCTTTGGAATATGACGACAACATGTTACGTTTCAGACATAAGGTCTAAAATGCTATGGTTTTCATAGAAAAATAGAATTTCCTTTGCATTCGACGTCACTGCCGAGGCTCTTGTTCGGATGCCAATTGAATTTTTTATGCCCTTTTAAAATGGTCGAATTAATTTTTTTGCTGTTCCTTCCTTGGTATTGATAATTTTGCGCATAGTTAGGTACTCAGTACCTACGGGGATCTTTTTACTTTTTTTTTTAATTCTAACAACACATAAGAGAATAACAAATGTTTAGAAGATCAATTAAATATGCGGATGCGAAGATGTATTTTACCGTATAATAAACTAGTATTCCAAATAGTTATTGATTTATGTTTAAATAAATTGAATATTGTCGAAGTCAAGTACTTTTCAAATAATCTACTCTTTGTATAGTATAGTAGTATTCGAAAAGAAATGTTTATAGAATTTTAATGTAATGCGATTTGTAAGTACGTCAAAAAATGTAGTATAAAGGCATTGGGGAGGTTGGGGTGGCATGGTACAACCGTCATGTTTGCCGCCGCACGTAAGATTCCATCCCGCTTCACGCTTCGTATCAACTGTTTGAATAGAGATACGCCACTCTGAATTTATTGTGTACCACCGCACCCCACGCTACCCATTGTCACGCAAATCCGATGTATCGTTTTCACTCAACTCTTTCAATGGTATGCTAATATGACATTTAATTCCTATCATTTGACGAGGCCTCATTACTATATTTACGTATGGCTTCCTTTGTTCTATTGTATAATAGTTTCACATTGAGATAAATTGTTTAATTAAACGAAAGGATTAATTAATTATAAATTTTTAATTTAAATAATTAATTATTTTCAAGACCGTCTAACTCTAAAGATTGGATTTCTTTATTTCAATAACTTTTAAAATGATATACAATGTATGTTCATTGGTTTCTAATCAAAAGATATAATATATTTTATGTTTAGATGTTTAGTATGCTACTAGGGAACATACCCATACTACGTGACCTATTTTTTTTAGTTTTTTCTAAGTTTTTTTAAAGCTGCATGCATACTTAAATTACTAGTGAATTATGTTTTATGAAGAAGAACAACTAATGACTACGTGATAAAAACCTGAGGCACCCCCCCGCTGTGTTTGACCGTGACCGTTTGGCTGTGACTGACCGTAGTATTTTAAAGACTCCCCCCCCTCCCCCTAAATGGGTCACATAATATGGGTACGTTCCCTTATATTAAGTTAATCCATCTTATTTCGTGAATATCATAGCATCTTTAAAATAATTTGCATATTACGTATATCAAAAAAATGTCAAAACAAATTCCCATCAGTCTGTACGCGGATACATCGGAGTCATTGGAATATTGGCAATAAAACAGCGCTGAGCTGAAAAATCGATGTCGACAGCCGACATTGAGTACTCCGACATGAATACAGTCTGCCGTACACATCGTATTGGATTTAAAAACAAAAACATACGCAATACCGACTCTACTCTTGCCTACATAGCTTTATAAAGAGTTGAGTGTATATTTAAACTAGCTGTCGACCGCGACTCCGACTGTGCGGAATTTAAAATAAAACTTAATAAGGAGCCTATGTGTTCTTCTAGAGTATGTTCTAGATCTGTGTCAAATTTCAACAAGATCCGTTGAACCATTCTGGAGATACTTTCAAACAAACATCTATCCATTCATCTAAAGTTTGGCATTTATAATATTACAAAATTAATTTATTTACAATTGGACTATAACAGGTAACACTAAACGTAGCTTTTAGCAACATAAATATATCTCTAATTCTTAAACATAAAAATAGATTGTAACTGGCTGAGTCGATAGATTTCAACAATATTAAATAAAAAAAAACTTTAGAACAAAATTGTCATACACACTGAGCTACATTGAACCCAAAAGTTTTGCTTTTTTTAATGATCATAAGATCAATAGTAAAGGTATTTTTTCATGTCCATATAGAAAGCGTAGTCAGTGAGTTGCGTTGTAAAGAGAATGTAGTATAGCGGTAAGGTATTGTTCGCGAGAGCCGGCCATAATCACCGACCGACTATTTCAGCCTAAGTGCAAGCACGGACCGCGTTTATACCATACGATTTTTATATCGTTTCCTATTTATTGTCATCGTGATAAATTCAATATCATCGTTAACAAGTTTAACAATACGGCAAATATATTGAAGTAAAAGTATTAGCAGTTTAAGTAGTTATGCAAATTTAGCTTAGAATGATGCAAAGCCTTATTAATTATATTTTGGCGTAAAGGAAAAATTAAAAAAAAATTATTATAATTGATAAATTTTGCTTAAGTTGTTTAGCAAAAGGAAGATATAAAATTACTGTTTAGCAGTGAATAAGAAAAATATAAGTACTTGAGTAAGATAAAAAAGTTGGTCATGTTACAACTCTATAATATTACCTCGTAATTTTACCTATCAAAATTCCAATCGTATTGTATAAAGAGCTTTCGTACCACCCCTATTCAAGTGAATGCACTCTCAATGAAATGCATCTCCTTCGCGTCGAGCCCCTGATGACACTCAAATAATAAAGATAGTAGAAAAAAATTAAAATGATTTTAATTTTGTTACAGAAGATGAATTCCGTTCAAGAGGAGAAACCGACGGAGGCTGCCAAGGCTCACGTCAGGGAACTGAGGAACACGGAACTCGTTTCCCGTCTCCTGGCAGCAACTCCACCATATCTTTACAGCGCTTTACCTCTTCAACCGCATGCTTTCTTCTTCAGCGAAATGCTAAGATCATTCGTCAACGCTAGACATGGTTGTCGCCCACAGCAGTACCACCGTCGCTTCAAGCGCCGCGCCCACAAATACTTCGCAGAAAACGAAACCGAATGGCGACGGGAATGGCCGAAGCAAGACGAAGAGAAAAAGGAACCGGAACCCAGACCCGAAGTTCCATTGGAACTCACGGTGGACAAGCATTCCCCTAAAGTGGACGCAAAGTCGAGCGGCAGTCCTGGACCTCCTGGCAGACAATCCACTTACGTTGATGTCGGAACTGAGGAACTGCCGAAGCAATCGCCGTGTACTAGGAACCCTGAGAACGTTCCGGCACCTAACCTTATCCTACCTCCTCCTCCTCCTATGTGGTATCCTCCTCTATACAACCCTCAATTTGGAGTCGATCCACTAAACTTTTTTATTGATCTACGTGTCTCTGGTCATATTTACGATAGAAAGCGTACAGCCACTGAAGGAGCGGAGACAACTTTACCACAAGAAGCTCGACACGATGAGTCTGTTATAGATAAGAGGCTCGGTAGAGATTTTGGGCAAAGGCCTCGACACGTTTCGGCCTTTTCCGTTCCGATTCGTGATCAAACAGAAACATCAAATAAATATTACGATCATAATATTCACGCGGGTAGTAACAATGGCACTTCATATATAATGAAGAATTTAAAAGGCCTGTATGAAAAATTACACGATACGCAAAACCAGAATGCACAAAAATTGAATGACAATGAAGGAACCAAAGACGACTCTTCCGATTTAGATGAAGACATTATTGATTAAGTTAATAAAATTCCTATCGAAATATCAAAATACGATTAAAATGTAGTCACGTAGTATTTTAAAAAGTTTATTCACAACTTACTAGTCATTCCTTACTAGTCGTATTTAATAATTAGATTGTATATATTTAAGCTTATGTAAATAACTTGCTAAATAATTAGGGATAGAATCACATACATTAAAAAGTTCTTCAATATTTAATATTTATTGAAAATACGTATTTTATTAAATGTCTCGTTAAAAGCACTTGCTATTTTTAAATCAATTAATATCAAATGCAAAGCCTAGTTAATGGAAGATATGTTTTATCGTATTAAATTTGTAGATGAAATTAAAAAATAAACATTAAAATGTCTTACGTCTTTTATTTTCTAAAACATAATATATGACTGAACCAATATTCTAACGAAGAAAGCTGAAAGTTAGTAACATTCCCTGGAGTTAAAAGAAAATAAGGGAATGTATTTTTTACGTGACCTATTTTTTATTTTTTTTCGACCCCTCCCTCCCCTTCGTGACCACTCGTAGTATATGCCAAGACCCCCTCTCCCCCTTTAGTTTTTACGTAGTAATTCATAATTATGATTTTTAACCATTTCACAGGCAAAAATAAAAAAAAAACATTTGGCTCATACTCGTCTTTTGCATGAATACTTAAATTACTAGTGAACTATGTATTATAAAAAAAAACAACTAACGACTACGTGACAAAAACCTGAACCACGCTCCCGCTCCTGTGACTGACCGTAGTATTTTAAAGACTCCGCTCCCCCCCTAAGCGGGTCACGTAATATGGGTACTTTCCCTAAATAGTGCGTTCAAGCTAATTTTATAAAAATACTGCATCTAATTTGCGAAATATGAGCAGAAGCTACAATGTACTTTGCCCAATCAACTTGGACGTAGTAACTGTTATTGAATATTAGTCATAGTGTGTGTTAAATGCCCAAAAGGAGATATTCAATCTGAGAGGGCAATAATCCATTGGTTGCCGGCAAATGAACAGGTTCTGTTTATGGTCAAAGAACACCAAAAAATCTGTAAACAAATACGTCTAATTTAATGTAATTAAAAAATATGGCTGTTCTAGACTAACGAGTACAGCATTGAGGGTTCTTTATTCTAATGGTAAAAAGCTGGCCTCTGTCGGCGGCTTTTGATAACTATTGGCTTTGAGCACTAATGTTGAGATTAGGATCCTGTTTAATGTTGTTATTACATAAGAAAAAAGATGGCGCAAGGAATTTTGATTGATATTCTCAGATATCCTGTGATAACCAGCCTTTTAATTTCAAAATTATGCAAATTTTTTTTCATAAGCATGGACATATTCCGAGACCGAGATTTTCATCTCATTCCTCGAAACATACAATAATATTGCTCAATTTTTTGTCAAGTACAAAAATTATTATTAAAAATATGTTTTTGTGACAAGTGATTTGTGTAAAATAAAATTGAACAATTTAAACTATTTTTTTCCATCTGAAATGTGTTTTTTTACACTGGCAATAGGCAAGAACAAAGAATAAGGAAGATGATAAAGAATTTCAATTACGCTGGCAACACCGATTAATCATCTGCACCACGCGATTTTGAGAACGAAATCGGTCTTTCGAATATTAAATTATTTTACAAATAAATTCAATTATTTACGATGTACGGACAGCAACCGATTTTAGTTTTGAGTAAGTAAAAGTGTGTTTTCAAAATATAATGGTTGTTTGATAACATTTATTCAATGAACAATAAAATTTTCAGGCCAAAATACAAAACGTGACTCCGGTCGGAAGGTTCAATTGGATAATATTCGCGCTGGGAAAGTAATTACCTTCAAAACATATTAAAAACATCATTTTCGTCGTTAGGTTACAATGAAACATCATTTGAACGTTTTCCGATGTGTATTTCAGACGATAGCCGACGTTATTCGAACATGCCTTGGTCCACAAGCTATGTTGAAAATGCTAATGGACCCGATGGGTGGTATCGTGATGACAAATGACGGCAATGCTATTCTTCGCGAAATTACAGTGCAACATCCAGCAGCTAAGTCAATGATAGAAATTGCGAGAACACAAGACGAAGAGGTTAGATTTGTGTCTTTAAAATAAGCGAAATAACCAAACATTAACTACCAACATTAAACATGAAGATATTCGGAGTCGCACGCTCTGTTGACTCCATCCATGTCTATTATGTTTATCCCTAAATATGTTTTTTTTACTAATTTATCCAAACAAATTAACATATATATAATAAGTTGTAACTATAATACTGATCATCAACATAAACCAAAATAATTCAAAGGGATCTGTTGAAGTTTGACTACCATGGAGATACCACTAACATATTAACTATATTTTTAGGTTGGCGATGGCACAACATCAGTAATTGTTCTAACAGGAGAGATGCTAGCAGTTGCAGAACCCTTCTTGACACAGAACATACATCCTACAGTAATTATCAGAGAATTCCGGCAGGCTTTGGAGGATGCCGTCAAACTGCTTCAGGAAAAAATCTCTGTTCCAATTGATTTGAACGACAGAGATAAGTTGAAGGAAGTGGTAAGTAGCTTTTATTTGACACCTAAATTAAGTAAAAAGAATATCAAATGCCAAACATGGTGGCTACTATATTGTTTGATAAAGAAAAGTGATATAGTGGATTAAAGAGTAACTAAAATAATAAAGTTGTGTGAGGAAGAACGTTTTTGAAATTTAATAAGTTTTAGTGTAATGTCTCTTGTTTATGTATAAAGGTTTAGATTGAAACAAAGGATAAAAAAACATGGCTATTAGTTGACTTAGAAACTATGAATTTGGGGTAAATAAATTGTGACAAAGTTATTGAAATGGTGTACTAAGTAAAGATAATGTTGAATTTATAAATTTGAATAAATCTTTCTTAATTTTTAGGTCTTTTCCGATCTAATATTTAGTTACCTGTTTTCCTTGTATTAGGCTAATAATCTGCTAATGGTTTAAGTGATGTATAAATACAATTTCCAGATCCGATCTTGCATAGGCACCAAGTACATTGGTCGCTGGGCAGATCTTGCTGTTGATATTGCCCTGGATGCTGTTAATACCGTCACTATTGTTGACAACGGCAGAGTAGAGGTTGATATTAAGAAGTAAGTGACAAGTTAATTATTAGTAATTTCTATTAGATCTTATCTTTACACATTCCCTTTTGCTTTGTGACTTCTGCAAAATTCTATTAATGTGGGTTCTAAGTGTATTCATCACAAACTATGCAGTGTCAAGATAAATTTTACAGTGGCGGAAACCAGCCATGCCATTTTTATTTTCTTAAAAGGATATAGAACACTGACTAATGACTCTTGTACACTGTTATTTAGTACTAATAAATAATTGTTTTTTCAGCTATGCTAAAGTAGAAAAGATACCCGGAGGTACAATTGAGGAGTCATGTGTACTGAATGGAGTGATGTTCAACAAAGATGTCACTCATCCGAAGATGCGACGTCTTATTGAGAACCCCCGTATTGTGTTGCTTGATTGCTCATTGGAATACAATAAGGGAGAGAGCCAGACAAATGTTGAGGTGTTCGGTGACCAGGTAAGTTTTACTTACACTTTTAAATGCAAAATAATTTAAAAAAGTGAATAATGTAATAGTGCTATCGAATTACACAAAATTATTAGAAACCATCTTTTAATTGATTTGAAAAAGAAGGTTTTTGATGTGTTCATATTCTGTTTTATTTATATATTGTCAAACTTACAAATATGTGAGAATCCAAAGGACAGCAATATTTTTCTTGCTTATAAAAGTTTCTCTCTTGCGGAGCTTTAATATGTGTTTATAGAAGTTTCTAGCTTACACAGGTTTGACTGTAAAACCTAGTTGCATTCTTTGTGAACTTATGGTTTACAAATTCATTATTGTAATTTTTCTTTATGACAGGACTTTACAAAGCTGCTACAGTTAGAAGAAGAGTTTGTGAAGCGTCAGTGTGAAGATATCATCGCTCTCAAGCCTGATCTAGTGGTGACAGAGAAGGGTGTGTCAGATCTGGCACAGCATTATCTGGTGCAAGCTGGTATTACTGCCGTCCGCAGGTAAGGAGACAAAGCAGAAAATGTGTGATATGTTATCAATAATGATAGTAAATAAGAAGCTTTGGGTAGGTTCATACTCGGAACATAATATAAGCTAAGCAAAGTTGGGTTTTTTGTATGACAGTCATGAGATCACAAGATTGAACATTTTTGTTAAATTGGTTGAAGCCCAGTAAACAAAACAAAAAGTGAGGACATAGCCGACGACTTTAGTAAACATAAGGAATGTCTACTTTACTTAATGGTCTTACTTATATTATAAACGCCAATGTTTAGATGTATATTTGTATCTAGAACAGACCAAAGGATCTCCCTGAAATTTGGTATAGATGTAGAACATAGTATGAAAGAACACATAGGGTATAAGTTTGTTTTTTAATTCCGCGCGGACGGAGTCGCGGGCGACAGCTATTGTTACATAGAGCTATTTATGAATTAACAGACTACGTAAGACTGACAACAACCGTCTGGCGCGCGCGTGCGGTGCCACCATAGTAAACCGCACGGAGGAGCTGAAGGAGAGCGACGTGGGCACCGCCGCCGGCAGGTTCGAGGTCAAGAAGATTGGCGACGAGTACTTCACATTTGTTACACAGTGCAGCAACCCTAAGGTAAATCCACAAAGTCTTTATGGAATTTCGAAATTATGATAATAGCAACATTAAACCGTGCTGCTCCCTCATTGTGACCAATGAGGGAGCAGCAAATGTCATCTTGACAGCGTTATATTTTGACAAATATAACGCTGTCAAGATGACATTTTTTAGTTACGCAAAAGAAATATGTTAGAGTTAATAAAGATAGAACTGATGAAAATAAGAAAAAAATGTTTTTGAATTTCTCATGTGGAACTCGAGTTATTTATTACAGGCGTGCACAATTCTTCTCCGCGGCGCGTCAAAAGATGTTTTGAATGAAATCGAGAGGAATCTTCAGGATGCATTGCACGTCGCTAAGAACTTGGTACGTAATCTGTTAAATATAGGCCATTTCAATAGTTTTGTACTCAAAGTCAGTTGTGTTTGCGCAGACACTCATGCGAAGTTTAAAAATTAAAAAAAATGTAATCATAGCCAATGTCGCCCGATAATAGTGTAGCTTGCTAACAATGAAAGAGTTTTTTAAATCAGTAGTTTCGGATCCTATTTAATACAAACAAAGAAATCTTTCTTCTTTATAATATTAATAAAGATTATAAATGACTAAGTATGGAGACTAATGGTTTTGTGTTTAAAATAGGTTTTTATTTGTTACGATATATATGTTTGTATATATTTGCAGGTGCTGAACCCGCGTCTGGTGGCGGGGGGCGGCGCGGTGGAGATGGCGGTGTCGTGCGCGCTCGCCGCCAACGCCGCGCACAACACGCCGTACCGCGCTGTGGCACACGCACTCGGTAATATCTGTTCACTTTACTAATCTCGTGTGTTAACAAACAATTTTATTTAGTAAGGGACATTAGTTTTTATTTTCCTGTAAGTGGTAACCCTTAGCCTGTTATTCGGATTCCTGTTGAAGGATAACTACGGATTCGAGTAGGTCGTTGAAGTGTAAAAATTCTAAAATAAATGATACCTTTAATCATTATATAATCAAATAGCTGTCGCCCGCGACTCCGTCCGCGTGAATATATAAAAAAACTTAATATATAGATAAGTTAAATAAAAAGAAGCTCTTCAAGGCATAAATTCCAAAAAAAAAAAAAAAGAATAAATAATATCCTATGTCCGTCTCCTGGCTCTACGTTACCTCTTCACCAATTTTCAGCCATATCGATAAAGCCGTTCTTGAGTTATAAATAGTGTAACTAACACTACTTCCCTTCCTTTATATATATATATATATAGATATATAATATTGTATGATATATATCTGTATAATTTTTCGATACTAGTTTAGAATACAATGTTTTATTAATTTCAGAGATAATCCCGCGCACGCTGGCTCAGAACTGCGGCGCGAACACGATCCGCACGTTGACTGCGCTGCGTGCGCGCCACGCTGCTGGCGCCAGTACAGCTGGCATTGACGGAGAGACTGGAGAGATCGTCGACATGGCCGCCAAGGGTATATGGGAACCACTCGCAGTTAAGATGCAGGTACACTCGAATTTTATCACTAAAATAGTTGGAATCAATTCCGCTCAAGCGCCTAATACGCACTTATATCGAAATTGTAGACTAAAACCTTCAACTAAGTACGAAATCTCTTCAAGGCTAGGAATTTAGGAGTCAAAAAAATTAACATTAAATCTAGTACCTAATGCAGCGCTAACGTGAAGCTAAAATCACCAATTTATGACTAACCCCCGCAGTCCTAAATGAATTTGAGGGAAATTAAAATTGTTTTATGTCATATAAATTCCAGACATCTTTGTAACTTAAAAGATGACAGTGTATGACATAGTACGCTATTTTTAATTGTTTATTCTGTATGAAACATGAAATCAATCTAGAGCCCACCCTAAGTTAGGGGTGACTAGGCCATAGTCAACCATAGCCCAGTGTGGTTTTGTGGATTTATATTTAAGACTAGTAATTTACGTATATTCATTCCAGATCTACAAGACAGCGGTAGAAACGGCAATTCTAATTCTGCGAATCGACGACATTGTGTCAGGTTCTAAGAAGAAGTCTGACAAGGAGCCGACCGCGCCCGCCGCCATGGCTGCCGGACAGGAGTAAATGCGTTTCCACTGTCTAAACACTTGTACGAAACATATTGTCATCCCGCTCATTCTTATTGAAAAGAGCAGAGACAGTGTGCTACAAGTGTAATTTCAAGATTAACACAAACGCATTTATGGATGAAATTGTTACAAATACTAAAATAACACTTAAATATAATAATTAGTTTAATACAATTAATGTCTAATGTTTTAACCCCGTTTTCCTAAAACAATTCTACAATAGTGTTCGTAAAATAAATTGCAACAAGAGTTAAATTAAAAAAAACTACCATGAAGGTTTGTTTCCTGTACCAAAAAAAAAAACAAAAAATGCACTAAATGAGACTGGTAAATATAATATCGTTCCATAAATATCAATATGTCGCAATTTAACTTTTATATATTCTCACATTTTATTATAAAAATAATTTAAGTGTTTGTACCAATTTTATCCATTACAAAGCATATTTTGATTGTTTACGAATGAACTATGGGATATGTATGATTTTAACTTTATTATTCAGAAAACTTTGTCTAACAATAAAAGAAAAAAAACCTATACTAAGTTTAGATAGAAATTTCTATCTCTACTGACCAGTGTTAAGTGTATGATTTTTTAATTTAATTATTAAAATACATACTTCTGTCTTTTACCAGTGACTTTTGCACAGAAAAAAAATGTTTTTGTTTTAATTTTTAATCTGGAAAGAATATTGGTGTTGCCAGTTTTTATTTAACTTTTTTTGTGTGATCGATACTCTTTTGTTCGTTTGTTTAATTTAATATCGTAAACAATTAAATATGAAAGCATTTTAATATTAGCTTATATCTTTAAGTGCTAACAAAGATGCCTTATCGTACGTTTGAGCTTTATACGAAAAAGTTTTAGTTAACTCTATGTTAGTTTTTCGTTTAATTTATGGTCTCTTGTAATGTCTACTTTCGCGTTCATTTGAGTTATAATTATCAAATTTAATTGCAAACTGAACAATATTAGTATTAAAGGTTTATATACTAATTCAATTTGATTTGTTTCTTTTTCCTTTCCAACTATTTTATGCCCTAGTCATTATGCAAACTATATTATTCTAGAACATACTCGTAAACAACGAAAAATTGATTTACAGATGGAAAAGTGTTATGACAAGATAGTTTCGAATTCTTTTTTCACTTATTTAGAATTTTACTTCCTATGTCCTCTGTATGGTGGTGACAATGCACATGACACTCCGGGGAAGAAGACGAATCTTTCGACACCTCACTCACAAAATCGGTTTACCGTGGGTTTCTGAGACCAAAATCTCTGTATAAAACATATCGTCATCCCTGTTATTATACTTCATAAAACAGAGATGATAATATGTTTTAAACGGAGATATAGGTCTCAATCCCACGGTTAGTCGTTTAGGTCGTCAGCATAGAATTCACTAACATACAATCTCACATATGCAGTAATAATTCTTTGAAATATAATATTATATATTATTATATATAAATTAAATGATTGACTATTTAGCTTGTTTGGTCATTTCGTTAAGTTAATTAAATCAAACAGAGCTCAAGTAATTAACATGACAATATAGCACATATAGTTGACTGGACATAACTCCATTGCCTTTAAAAACGACGCGGATGTAATATATATGTATTCCATATTGTCGAGAGATTTTCGTAGCAACACCGTTATGTGCGTGTTTCCATTGTCGTTTGAAAAAATTAAAAGATTACTAGTATTTTAATTCTGCGCGTCAGTTCGAAATTTACTTTTGTTATATCATCGTGGTTAATAACTAATAAAAAGAAATATTAAAATAATTTTGGTTTTTCCCCAATTTATATATATTTTTTTTGCAGTGAAGTGAGATTCTAATGATCAAAATTATTAAATATTTACGTTTCCTCATTAAAAATGGGCAAATCTGTGTATTTTATAGAGAAGTATATATTGGATGGCAATCGAAAATAGCATAGGCTTTGTAAATTAGATATAAGTATTTGTTTTTAAATTGTTCAAACTTTCGTGAGACATTATACTAAACTGATATTTAAACACGGCTCAAACACTAAGGTATATACGTCCGGTGGCGGCACCGGACGTATATACGTGAGTGTTTAGCCGTGTTTATATATCAAGTATTTGTTTAGCTCCAAATCTATATGAGCCTGTGAAAAATGACTAGATCCAATGGATACTTCCCAATGAACTTTTGCAGCGTATAATGGAAACGCGTATACATCCGGTCAGACAAAACACTCACTACCCGTGACTATTGTCGATGGGGACGACAGAGGCTGTCATTGCACTGTTGTCCCCTGGGCTAGCTGGACGAATACTTCGGGATTATGCAACCGTAAGTAATTTTAAGTAATTATATTGGTATATTTTAACACCGTTGGTGTCGTAATAGGTATTATTGCAAACATTTTTGTAGTTAAAATGTTTATACACTTTGTATAGTAGCCATTATGATAACACATTTTATGAACAGTGGTAGACGCTAGCAACAACATCTTCGCAGGAATGGGCTAGCCCGCCCGGTTCAATACCACGACCACACAGAAGACAGGCTTTACTACCAAGTAATTCCGCATTTCGTCTGATAAGTGTGCGTTCTTGAGGCCTAATTTTAGTTATCTTTCCCTAGTGTTGTCTAGTTTCCCTGTCTAGTCCTTGGGAGAGGGTTTTGACGGAGGTGAGGACGAATAGTAAGGGAAATATTCTTTTTCTGTGTGTCCTCCTTCGTTTAGTAACGGTAAGCAATGCATCTGCAATTGCGGAAGTCTATGGACAGCGGACTTCGCTGTTTCAGCAAGTTTAGGTTCCCGCTTGTTTGCTTGCCGCCTTTTAACGTAAAAATTAAAAAGGTGGCCTGCGCCTTTTTTCAAAGTAATTACTCAGTAGCAGTGACTATTTAAATATTTTATCTATTCTAGACGAATAATAACTTGAGTACAGGAGGATAAAAGAAATTCTTGGCTTTTATTACAACTGGGTCAATGTCCGTTTTCGATAAAATTCAATGGAACAATACTGAACGTTGACAACAATCAATATATAGCAGTTGTTTCGATAGTGGTCATTCGGAGCGTAACGGATATAGGCTCTTTTCATGACTATTTGTAGTAAAGTACCGTAAATAAATATGCCGGGATTTTTCAACACGCCGACTTCGGCTTTCACATATGTGAACTGACAAGTCTAATCGGCGGCACTGAATGTGTTAACATTCCTTGTTACTTTAAAGATGTATTTTTGATAGAGCCTTACATTTATCTATACTAAACATTACTTTCTTAGGACCTACGCCTTTAAAGTTTACTTTGGTACGTATAAATGTGTACCAATGTTTAAATGGTTAAATTATTTTGTGAGGCAAACTTCCGTAATTATTTTGGACAAATCCGACTGCAAGGTCATCGGACGCCCATCAGATTTAATAATCTCGAATAACATTCATGGTTTGGTGGACATTTCCTGGCTTCCGTTTTGATTTCATCACAACATGTCCGCCATTTTTCTATTGACGTGTTACGTTTAAGATAATATATTTGCGGATCAAAAAATGTAGGCGTCCCAGTATCTTTCATTTTTTAATCTAAACTGCTTAATAAACGATTACTTTATGTTCCAGTTGTTATAAGAGACCGAAAATATGAAGAAATACACAAAAATATTTGTCCTTTGGATGGCAGTGCTACTGCAAGTGGCGTGTTCCTTCGACATTCAGCCACCATCTCAAGACCACGTACGTAAACTTATTTTATTTCTTAAAAATGTCCTACTGTCAAAAGATTTTAACCAACTTTTACTTATTATGTGCTTTAATTCATAGTATGAATTTTTCGTTTTCAGGACGAATTAGCAGATTCAATAAGGGGGCGACGAGGTGTTATCGAAGAGGAGAAGTTTTTTAGTGTCAATACTGATATGAGAAATGACAATATAAATCAACATACACTCTGGCTTCCTAGCGCTTTGCACTCTGATGAAGATCCTACAACTAAAATATCTATCACCAATGACGTGAAAAATCCCATATCACATCAAACAACTGAAAGAGTGACAGATAAACCTATTGGACGTGGAGCGAGGGCTTCCAACGAGAACTGGGTTAAACTACCTTTTCCTAACGAAGATAAAACCCGAGACAACATACTAACTCCTCCAAAAGCATCAGGCGATCTTATAAACTCACGTATACCACGAGTTAACTTTGTTACTCAGAACAAAGGTTTGGACACATCAGAATCTAGAAATGACAGAGAATCCGTTCAAAGATCAACTAGAACTGATAATATAAGAACAGAATTCGTTCGACCAGATGAAGACGACTTGATGAAACAAAAACCGGTATATCCGAGACAAGCAATCTACTATCCGGAAGATCCTCGACGAATGTTTTACGAAGATAAGTACTACAACGATGGTTTGTATAGACGTGACCCCTACTATGATTTATACGATCGTAAAAGATATTACCCAGGTCCTAGAGTCGATAGATACGATGAGCCTTATGATAATTATGTACCACGGAAACCTAAGAGAATCATATACTACGCTCATTTACCAGAAGTAGTGAGGACACCACCGAGTGTCGATTTAAGATATCGATATTCTAATGACCCATATCGACGATTCGATGACGATTATTACGCGAGAACTGGCAGGTACGATTATCGATTTAGAAACAAATATCCGTACGCTGCTTTAAGAAAAGATGAGAGGAATTATAGAGATTTAGTTATCGCTGGCACAGATGCTAGAGACAAAAAAATCGACGAAAAAGTAACTCCAACTCCTATATTACCTAAGAAAGATGATAAAAAGGACAAACCAGTAAATGCTAACAATCGAAATGCGAATAGAAATACTATAAACAGTCATCAATATCACGAAACTGCTACTAATTATAACGATCAGATGAATCATAAAGCGTTTGTAGATTCTAAAAGACCTGATGATGGATATTTCAGATTCGATGAACCATTTTTCCATTCCGCTATCGATGATTCATATCAAAGGAAATATTAATTAAATCAACTAATGTATTCTTTTGAAGTTTTCAAATATTATTAAATACTTTGAAAACTTCGAAGACTAATTAAAATAATAGATATTAAATGGGTTTTTTTAATTGGTATAATTTAATATTAAAATTATAAGACAAGTGTAAAACTATTCATGTAATCTGACA